AAGCGTGGATCCCGTCGAGTACGACGGACGTGAGGGGTGCTAATACCTTCCCCTTGCGTAACCGACTCCCGAATCCAGGTTTTGGTTGCGACGACCATACCTTTCCCGTGTTGTGCGAGGTTTACTCTGAGCGTTCCCTTTCCCTCCCGTGGGATAAATAACGCACGGTGGCGACTCTTCTGTTCAGCCGGCGCCGATTTTCGCAGTAGCGACAGTGATGTCTGCTGGACAAGCTTCTAATAAGTTCAAAGATCTGAAGCCTGACTACAAGATCTGGGCTAAGATTTTCATGGGATGCATTCATCACAGAAAGTCAACAAACTCTCCAGACTATGTCAATAATGAACAGCTCTACTTTATGTATTGCCTAAGTCAGAGCACCAAAGTAGATCTTCCATATATTCTTTTTATGCATCTATGGAATCATATAAATGCTTCTAGAGAATATGTGAAAGAAAAAGGTCAGAAGATCAGAACCTGGATTCCTTTTGGAAGGTTAATCTCAGATCTTCTAACAGAAAATGGACTTGTAACTGCTCTGTACGCTGCTGGAGTCACAGAGGAACTGGAATTTATTTTGGGAAAGCCTCTGAATGCCAAAAGTCTTCAGAGACTAAAAATAGTGGAAGAACTCACAACAGCTCCCAAGAAGCTGAACATTTTTGAACTGAGTCAGAAGAGAACTCCTGTAGATGATTACCCTCTGTTCTATGCTGAAGAACCAAGGGAAATTGTTGTAAGATATATTGATGAGTGCAAGGCAGAAGGAAAGCCTATTCCTGCAGATATTATAAAGAGAGCAAGGCAACCATTACCTGTTGTAATAGAAGAACCACCAAGAAAGAGGACTCAACCAGAAGCAGAAGCTGCACCTGTTCAGAAGAAGCCCAAGATTGCTGAGAAGCCACAGAAGCTTCTAAAGAGGAAGGAATCTGGAGACACTCCTTCTGTTCCTGCTAAACGCATCAAAATCAAAGGTACTAAAACTTCTGTATCTTCTGCAAATCCTATTGTTATAAATGATTCAAATGTTAAGTCTATTCCAAAACCACCTTCTTCACAAAATCAATCTGTTACTGCTCCACCTCATGTTTCTATTCCATCTCCTCAAAAATCTTCTAATCCAATTTCCATCTCACCTGTAAAACAATCCTCTGTACCTAAACCATCAACAACAAAACCACAAATTCAAACTCCACAACCAGAAGTTCCAACCAAACAATCTGTACCACAAAAACAACCATCAGAAAAACAACCCACAGAACAACAACAAACAACAAAACCATCTTCACAACAAAAGCCATATGAACAACAATACCAACCTCAAGAAAAACAACCAGAAAAATCATCTGAACCTCTACCAGAAAAAGACTCGGAACATCAACCACAAAAATCATCTGAACCTCAAACACAACAATAAGAGAAACAACCACAATCAGATAATCCTTCATCCAAAACATCTGAACCCACTGAATCTGTACCAGTTACTTCTGAATCAATTCCATCAGAACCATCTACATTTGAACCCTCATCAAATCCCTCTGAAAATCCCTCAGAATCAACCAAGCCATCTGGAACCAACATCCTTGAGACAGAAGTTCTTCATGTTACACCTCCAAAAACTGTTTTTCAAGTGTCTTCTACTTCTTGCACACCAACCACATCATCAAATTCCTCAGAATCTGACATTCACCCAGATTTTATAATCTCCCATTCTCACAGAGATTCTGAGGTAAACCAACCAGAACCCCCTGTATCTTTCAAAGTTTCTATTCCAGATTCTACTCCCACACCTAAACCATCATCTGAAATCCTCATTCCAAATTCTATCCCAACATCCACCCCAAGAACATCTATCTCATGTGCACAATTCTCATCCCTGTTTCACAACCTTTCCTATGGTTTCAAACTCAAAGATTTCTATGACAGAGTTGAATCATCTGACCCTATCACTCCCCTCAAACCCAAACTTACTATCACCCTACCATCTGTGCTTCTCGCCTATATTCAATCAATGTCAAAAGTAGGTTCATTAGCAACAATATCATATTCTGCTAAATCTGCAAAAGCTGTTACTTCAGCTATACCTGTTTCATCTGATAAACCTGCTGCTTCTGATGAACCTGCAAAATCTGCTTTCCAACCTTACTCCAATAAACCCTTTTATATGGTTTCCTATCACACCAAAGCAAAACCAAATCTGTTAAATGCTTTAAACAGATCCAAACCTGACAAATCCCCTGAAATTCCTTTCATACCATACTACCCTCCTCCTCTTATTTCCATTCAGAAATCCTTATTTCCACCTACTCCTCAACCAAAACCAATAACATTGGAGACTCTGTTACACCCCAAACCTAGACTAAACATTGATCATTTATTTACATGTTTTTTTGCAAGAAATACAGTTGTATTTAGGTACTGTACAGAGGAAGTGTTCAGCAACAATAGATGCACAAGAATCTGATGTCATCTGGAATGGATTCATAAACAGATTCAACACTGTAGCATCAAATCTGAAGAACATATGTTCTGATGATGCAAAGCTCATATTTGCTGAAGCTGCAAGAAGTCTATTCTGGACTGTCAAGAGATCTGGACCATTACTTCTTACAGATGCTCCTCCATCATCAGAAGAAACTACTGAATCTGCATCTGAAAACAACCCTTTGGCCATGACTCTGGTAGAACTTCCTTCTGGCTCTAATGCTCCAAGCTCTACAGACCCTATGGAAATTGACTCTGCTCAAGCTCCAGAAAATGTTCAACCTTCTTCATCTGAGATTAAGAAAGAACATCCAGATTTTGAGGATAAAATTGCTGCTCCGGAAGCTGGTCAATCAGAAATCAAGTCTTGGATGGCCAAACAGGATAAGAAATCTGAAGACATGACTGAGTGGATGTCAAAACAGGATCAGAAGAATGAAACAATGGCTAAGTGGATGTCAAAGCAAGAACATTCCTCCTCTGAGATCACGGATCTGTTGAAGATGCTTTTGTCAAAACACTCTTAGTTTTTCATTTTTTTTCATTCTGATGTTTTTGCATCTGATGTTTGCTTATGTATTTTTGAATATCTTATGATGCATGTACTCTTGCTCTGAACTGAATTGAATGAATGTTTCAAAGTTTTCTCCACATGCTTTATCTTCTTTATTGTTTTCTTTTACTTGTCTTTTTAAAAGTTTTTACTTTTTGCTTATGACAAAAAAGAGGGAGAAAATATAGATCTGGACTGTTTAATTAAACTTCACCAGAATGAAACTTCAGACATATCTATTCTATCTAACATTAAATCTGAGTATTTCAGAACATTTGATAAGTACACTCTGTAAAAGAAACTCTGAGACTCTCAGATCTTTTGACAATTATCAAACTCTGACCCTGAAATTTTCAAGACACTCTGACTCTCAAATGTTAAAAGAACAATCAAGATCTAACTCTGAAAATTACTCAAGACAAAAGGGATGTTTCTATTCCTTATTTGTATTTAATTCAGGGGGAGATTCATCTTCTCAGGGGGAGTTATAATTATCATATTTTCAATTAAACAAAATTTCTGATGTTTTTGTCATCATCAAAAAGGGGGAGATTGTTAGAACACAGATTGGTTCTTAATAATATCTCTATGTTTTGATGATAACTATTATGAAATTTTGTAATTAAGAATTATATACTCTGAAATTTTCTTGAGAGTTTTTACTGCAGATAGTAAAGGAATTAACACTCCAGAAGAAAATCAGAATTGAACATAAGAAATTTGCTAGACTCTGAAGCACCAGATGCATCCATTAGAAGATTCTGATTGCTACCAACAGAAGATCCTGAGCGTAGCCTCCAGAAGAATCTGAAGCAGAAGCTCCAGAAGAATCTGAAGCAAGTCAGAAGCATCTGAACCAAAGAAGAATTCTGTATGAAAAGTTTTTCAAAGCATAGTTACTACAGAAGATTCTGAAAGTACTAAAGCTTCCAGTACTGAAGATCTGTCTCAAATATGCTCTGATCTTAAACACGCTAAAAGCACACCTGCTGCAGGAGACTCTGATTCAGCAAAACTCTGATCATCATCAGAAGGCTCTGATCTAATTAGACTCTGATGAATTTGCTGAAAACTGAAGAAGATTTATTCAAAGTTTATATCCGTTGGAATGAACCAAACGACTATTTCCTTATTTATGCTAGACACAAGAACACAGACAAAAAGGATTTATCTGTGCTTTCTTCTTTTAGGAAAGGTCATTTGATGTGAAGACAAAAAAAGGCTCAGACGTTTTGGACACTCTTCTCAACGTGAAGCTCACCTTGGATCAGCTGCCTATAAAAGCAAGACTTCACGTAACTTCTTTAGTTGACGTTTTATCCAAAAAGAAATCAACATTCAAGCTCTCATACTATTCATATTCTTTCTAAGAATTAGTTTCTTTGTTCTTAATAGTTAAGTGAAAAATCACAGTTGTGATAAAGCTTTATAGAAGCAATCTTAAACACTTGTATTTGTATTACATTTGATTATAAACCTTAAGAAGATCCAGTTAGGATCAGTAGTTCTTGAGAAGACTTTGAACAGTTGTTCTTAGTGCTTACTATTGTAATCAGTTGATTAAATAGTGGATTAAGTCCTTGATTGAGAAAGGCAAATCACTCTAGGAAGGGTGGACTGGAGTAGTTGAGTTCAACGAACCAGGATAAAAATACTTGAGTTTTTATTTCTAAGTTTTAATCTTCATACTTATTCAACCCCCCCCCCCCCCCCCCCCATTCTAAGTATTATCTCACCTTCAATTCATTATGCTTTTATGTTTGTTGTTATGTTTGGAACTAGTTCATAGCTTTTGTAGGGTTTGGTACCTGTTATTGAAGCATTAGGCCCGAATGTAGAACACAGGTTATGTGTTAATCATTTGTATGGAAACTGGAAGAAAAAGTATCCTGGTGGACACATGAAAGAACTACTTAGGTAGGCCTCTAGGGCGATAGTTGTACAAGATTAAGAGAGAGCCATGCAAAAAATAAAGGATATCAATGAAGCTGCCTGGAAAGACATGATAGAACTTCCACCGTCCATGTGGACTAGGTCTTTATACCGTACTGATAGTCACTGTGATTTGCAAGTTAATAATATGTGTGAGGCATTCAATATGGCCATATTGGAATATAGAGACAAGCCCATTATTACCTTGCTGGAAGGTTTAAAGCATTACATCACAGTTTGGATAGTGAAGCAAGAGAATCTGATGAGTCGATTTAGAAGCAATATTTGTCCTAAGGTTGAACAAGTTGTAGAAAAGTTGAAGCGGGCAGCTGGAGGTTGGATCCCTACTTGGCATGAAGACGATGAATTCAGCATATTCAGTGTGACAAATGGTATTGACACTTACGAGAGAGAAACAAATCCAATGATGAACCCACTTAGAGCAATGTGTTACCTAGAAATTTGACCACCGTAAAGTGTAAGACTTATGGGAATTTTGGTCACAACTCAAGAATTTTCAAAATGAAAATAGTGGTGGATCGCCAATTGAAGAAAGGAAGTAACAAGAAAAAAAACAAAAGACTGCATCAACCAAAGAAGCACAAACTGTTATGACTCAAGGATCGCAAGCGCCACAGACTCAAGAGACAACTTGACTATATTATTCTTTCTGTTTAATTTTTATATAATGGATCACTTTTTATAAGATGCATCATATTTTCTGTTGGATTAAAGACATAGTAACATTATCAGTTTGTAACATTATCAGTTTGACAATGAATGTTATTTTGTATCAGTTTGACAATAATGACAACATTAGCATTTTGTGTATTAATTGAAAAGCACCATTAACATTTATTTCCATTTTGTATTACAATTTCCTTATAATTTCAAATCAATATGACCTTCATTTTGTGTAGTGATTGCCTTGTAATTACAATTTTTATTTTTTTTAGTGATTTTCCTTCCTTTTGTATTACAATTTCCATTTTGTGTAGTAATAGCAAAGCAGTATGCATGTAAAATACAATTTCCATTTTGTGTAGTAATTGCCTTGTAATTGCAAAGTACAATTTCCATTTTGGAATTATGATTTGGAAATAACCTTATAATTCAAAAGCAGTATGCACGTAAAATAACCTTACATCCATTAAAACTATTAGAGTTTGGCCTAACACAACCTTACAAAATCGGTTGGTAAGGTGAGGGGTGCCACTCTATATAAACTATTTCAATGCTCTATCTCCAACCAATGTGGGACTTTAGGATCTTCCTAATACACCCCCTCACGCCCATCATTCTTTTTGGGCTTGGTGCGTGGATTTAAACGGTTGGCTGCCCAAGGTCCGATAGATAGGCTCTTATATCATATTAGAGTTTGGCCTAGCACAACCTTACAAAACCGATTGGTAAGGTGAGGGGTGTCACTCTATATAAACTATTTCAATGCTCTATCTCCAACCAATGTGGGACTTTAGGATCTTCTAAATAAAAACCATATAAGCTTACAACTATAAACATTCTATCTTATGATAGTACTAAAGAAATTTTTTTTGTAACCATTAGTTCCAACCTTACAACATAAGTTTACAATGACAACATTATCAAGAAAATGTTTTGGTAATCAACATGATGATCAAAAACCAAGATAGAATAAAAAAACAATAAAAAATTTGATCTTCTTCTTCAGTTCATCATCGCTCTTCTTTTTTTAAACCATCTTTCTTCTTCAACACATTCACCTTCTTCAATAGAGAGTTAATCACTTCTTGTGAATGTTCTCATATCTTCTCATCATACCAATAAAAAAAGGAGCATCCTTTCCTTCCATGCAAATAAATGAAACATAAAAGAAGCTCAAAATTATAAATTACCCAGAATTTTAAGATGAATAAAGAACAAAAATTAGGGATTTTTGTGTACCTTATATAACCTACAACCGTAGAACCTTTGACCTGGATTCTTAGATGTCCATGAAGTTGTAAGTGATGAATTCAACCCACAATAACATTGTATCCTTCTCCTCATAGAAGTAGAAGAAAAACTTAATACTTGCATAGATTCGGAATCCATAGCAAAGGGATTTAGTTTGGAAGAAGTGATTTGGGTTTTAGATTGAAGAGATTATTATAGACCTTGAAGAGAAGATAAAGAAACCAATGGATGCAGCTGAATTTAGGGCCATAAGAAGAAACAAATGAAGAATAGGAATTTAGGTTTCAGATTTAATATATTTAATTTTTTGTATTATTATATGTTTTTAATTATTTAAAAATGACATGTCAGTTTTGAAATTCCACGTAATAACAAAAACATGATACATCAGCGCATTTTGGTTGACAAATGGGCATGGGGGACCAAAACTGTTTAAAAAAAAAGGGATTGATATCGTGAGTTTGGCAAAATAGGGGGACCAAAACTGTAATTTAGCCTAAAAAAAGTTTTATTATCAAATATTTTTATTTGATTTTTTAATTATTGTTTTATCTTTCAATTTGATTCACATAAAATCGGCACATGAATTTAGAATTTTGAGAGATAAGGTAAATACTAAATTGTTTAATATATATTTAGTTATTATATATTATTTATGAATTTTTTTTGAATATTTTGAATGTCTCTCAAAATTATAATTTAAAACTAAAGATTAGATTCTTTAAATTTTAGATACTTTGAATTTTAGAATTGATTATGTTGATTCCAAAATGATTTACTTAAAGAATTATTTGTTGCATATGCGAATTTGTTTCCCATTTATTTGGGATATATAAATATTTAATATTTATCTGATTTGAAGTTATACATTTAGCATGATTATGTTATTTGAGTGTATTGTTATTAAGGTTTATACAACTTTTTCTTAATCATACAATTTGTATAAAATCATAAAAATTATGTTTATTGGGAATTTGTTCTCACACTAAGGACTTTCAAGAAATATTATTATTATTATTATTATTATTATTAAACGACATCCTAAATGAATACGACCTACATTTATGAGTAGTGCCTTGTAAATTTAAGACTCTTTCCATTGAACTTATTAAAATGTCTATTAATTTTGATTGAGTTGATTGAAGCAATATGTTGCAAAAGTAACCTCTGTTGCGTAAATTTGATTCAATTGTAATTACAAAAGATGTAGTGTGTAAATATTCATGCGAATTGTTATGATCGACCAAAAGGAAGACATAGTTTGGCCGAACAATTGCATACATGTGATGCTAAATATGTAGTAATTATTAATTTTATCCATGTGGGTAATGATTGATGTAAAAAACGTCCATTATCTGACCGTACTTATTACTAATGTTTGATGATTGGGTGAGAGTAACGTTTACAATTAATTTTTATAATCAAAGATTGATAATTAATGATGTGTTTGTATCTTGTTTGAGTCTTTTAATTTATAAGTAAAGATAAATGTCTATATAATACTTTATTGACATATCAATAACGATGTTCTATGAGTGAAAATCTTTCAAGTATTTATTTGATTGCACTCACACGTATAAAATAAACATGTGACAATTGTAAGAATTTATTGTTTAAAAATATTTGTTGTCAGTGTTTGATCATTCAAAATAAATACTACTAGCAATTAATTTTATTGTCTAAAGATTTAATATCAGTGGTGAATTTGGTATTTTGGTTAGTACATTTTATTTTGTTATCTATAAAATAGTATAGTTTATGTATCGGCAAAATAAGATAGATTTTGATTCTCAAAAATTTTAACTTTTAGGAATAAAATATGAATATTATGTTCTTGGATCTAAACCTTACATAAGGATGGAGAAACTCAAATTCTCTCACAATTTAGTATATTTAAAGTAAGACTCAAGTTTCAAAAGTGAGTACACTCCAAATTACACATGTCTATGAGTTAAAGTTTTGCAATATAGAAATATTAGAGGTGTTATTTAAGATGACATAAATTTTATCATATTATATTTGTTAAATTCTAGTGCTTCTAAAGCAATAAAGCCAAAGACAAACTTTCATTGGAATGATGACTTTTCTTTAAGACTATTAAGCAAAGAAAAATATTAAAAGCGTATAATGAAATTATTTAATCTTGCTAAAGCGCTATAGTTTCGTCAATTAGATGATTTTGTCAAAAATTTAGCATATGATATACTCTTCGCACAATTAAGTTTATAACTACTAAAGTTAGAAATTATTATTTAATAGAATAATTTCGTAAAATGTGCAATAAAGAAAAGATTGAAACAAGAGAAAATAAAATAGTACTCATTCGGTAAATATATTAAAAGGATAAGGGAAAACAAAAAATAATAAGAAAATATGGTTTGAATTGAAAAATATTCAATGGTGTTGAAAGATACATGAATTTAAAGGGGACAAATTTTGTAAAGATTGATATTTTTTTTAAAACTATTTTAGATTGTCATTATATACTTAAATTTGTATGTAAAATACAATTTGGTGAATTAATAAGGTTTTGTTTTAATATGATAACTTCTTTTTTTTAATGATTGATTCAATTTGTCTTTTAAATTTAAATATTATTAAAGTTAATTCAGTCATGACTTGTGACAGTCTAAAATTGTTGAAAATTTTGAGAAATATAAATTTTTAGTCTCAAGTTAAAGAATATTTTAAGAAAAATAATGTAATGTGTCTTGGAAATATTGAGTTTGGAGGACATATATAGTCAAAGAACAAAATTGAGTGGGAAAAAATTGGTTATAACTCAATTCATATAGTTTCTATTTATATAGAAAATTTGGACCCTCGTACGGATACTATTGTTTTTTCTCTCAATTAAATTATGAAATAAATTCTTGAAGATCAAACTCAACATCCTCAAGAACTAGAGCATCAAGTTTCATAAATAATTGACTGAAAAGAAAAATTTTATTCGGTACGACTGAAAGACTCTATTATGATAGTTGTGACACTTGTTACTTATTATAATTTTGGAGCTTCATAAGATGGATATCAAGTTGGTGTTTCTTAATGGCGACATTAAGATATATAATATGGTGCAACGAGAGAAAATTTTGTGTCAATAGATACAAAGTTTATGGTTTATAAACAGATAAAATACATTTATGAGTTAATGAAATTGTGTCATTAGTGATATGACAATATTTTATAAGGTAATTGTCTCGTTTGGTTTTGAGATGTCTATTATGAAAAATTATTGGGTTTTACAAGTTCAGTGGAAGTAAATTTATGTTCCTAATTTAATGTGTTGATTTTATTTTATTTAGTCAGCAATGATACAAGATTGTTGTGTGAAACCAAGAAATCTCTAACAAAAGTTTAGTGATGAAAAATCTTGGGCACATCTCTTTTGTATTAGATATTATGATAATTAGAGATTATTCTCAATGTATCATCCGATTATCACAAAAGATTTTTGTATATATATCGATAACGTTGAAAATAAAACTGACATGAAAGACAATAAACTAGTAGTGTATGTCTCAATTATCA